CTCTCCCTCCTCCCCCGCGATCGTTCTCGATCGTCGCAAGCGTCAGCTGCGAAACTGCACTGCGCGCTTGAAAATTGTATCGCGTTTTACCATCCCGCTTTTTCCTTCTTTTTGTTCTCCTTTTTCTACTTTTATTTGCTTTCTTTCTCTTGACATATTTCTCGATTCGGGTACCCCAATCGTCGCGCGCGAGCCAGTTTCCCGCGGAAACGGGCCGAAGGGAAGCGACGTGTTTTCCGGAAGTGGTGCTCGTATCTTTTTACGTTCGGCGTGCGATATCGGCGATTCTCAAGCTCGCGATGGGCCACCGACCGGAGTCGTTTTTCAGACAGCAACTTTCCGTGCGCCCGCTGCGATAGGTTCCGCGTATCGTACGCGTGGAATTATGCAGGAACGAGACGGGGATCAATGAGGAGGGGCGGGGAGGAGAGAAAGAGCGTGCTGTAACGCGGAGAGCGGCGCGAAAATTCCGCCTGAATTCATCCTCGAAGTTGTGACGTTTATGTACACGGAATAAACGCGGTTGGCGCGCAACTTTATAACGTACGATTTAATCGGTTATATTTTTCACGCTGTAGGGAGAAATCGAGATATATAGGCGAGATATAAAGAATGAAAGAGAGAAGAGAGGAGAGAGAGAGAGAGAAAATCGTTGGAAACGTCAGTGCTGCGTGAACATTTATTAATTAAGCGCATCGCGTCTCGTTCGGTTCGCCATCGATTCCGTAGATTAATGACATTAATAAGCGATCCCGTATTTCAGCCGTGGAAGTTTATAGCGATATTAATGCGCGCATTAATCATGCGTCGTACGGAGAGAGACAGAAAGAGAGAGAGAGAGATTTCATGAAAATCGGTACTCGGCTGTTGATACGTGCGAAGGTCCACATATGTGTATATGTGTAAGCATGTGAATGTGTGTGTGGTACGTGCGCGAGCTTAATAAGCTCGACTCAGAGGGATAAACGCAATCAGAAATGGCGTGTGGTTCCTCCTACTTTAACGAACGACATAGTGCTTCAATTGCGACTGATGAAATCTATATTGCCGTCTGAAACGCGTGCGCGCACGTTGTTAACATCAGCGTCTCGAAATTGCGATGAATACCGCGAAATTAACGTTCTCGTTTATTTTCGTCCTAGTGCTTTTTTCGAAGGAAATTAATAACACCTTCACGGCCGCTGTCACGTACGCGCGACTTTAGTCCACCGGCTATTACCGCCTCATGAAAAAAGATACCTGTCGTTAATAGAGTCTATAATTGTGCGATGTTTATAGCGGCTGCGTAAAAGTGGATTTTTATATTTACGTTCGCAAGGATGTTCGCTTCTTTAAACTCGATCTTTTAAAATTTACCAATGTGGCAGACGAATTTTTCTGCTACAAACTGCAAAATCATCAAAATGTTAATTGATAACTGTCAATTGATAAGAATTAATGAGTGTTTAATATTAAGTACAGAGGTGTATAATTTTTAGGAAAAAATAACAAATATTTGAATGAGGACAATCAAACAACGAAAGATTGAGATTTTAGTGATATCTGATCTATAATTTAATATTTTTTAAAACCATTTTCACAAAATTTTCCACAAACCATATGCTAAACATTGAATAAGGAAAATTTCCGACAATTTATAGTTTCGTTGAAAAAATTCGTGATTTCTGACGTTTTTCTCAGCGTCTCAGGACAACGTGACTCTTTAGGAGAGACTGGCGTAAGTTGGATAAAAATCGATTATTTCTACTGTTATTTAACCACTTAAGTGCTAATGACGCATAAATGCGTGGAAATTTTTATGGCAAAAGTGGTAATGACGAATAACTTATACATTAAAAATAATAGCAAATATGAAAAATGTGACTCCAGAAACGAGTATAAACCTACTATTACCAATTTTCGATAAAAAATCGATCGTACCACTTTTGGCACTAAAAACACGGTTTTAGGTCTTACTATTTAAGTGATTTCAGTATCAAGCAAGCAGGGATTCCAAAACCATCTTTGATGTGTTCGGAAATTTGCTTGTTTAATTCTGTAACTTGTCAGAAATTAGCCGAAATAATCGGTTTTGCCAACTAATCTCGGTCTCCTCACGTTGAAAAGTTTGCTAGGCAATATCGCGTCGCGGTTCAGAAATAGCGCACTCTCCTTTCCATTTTCGGAAGGCCACCGCGAATTATTCGCGAGGCGATTATGCGCAATCGGCTTGGTTGTCGTCACGCGTATCGCTATCTATTTTTTCCATTTACTCTAAAAAAACGAAGCGCAGCCGATAAGCCGCGAGACCGCGTTGAGAAACTGCGAGGAATAATTCGTTCATCGTGCACAAATAGACAATCTTATCGTATCTTTCTGCATGCAACGGCGAAAACACGACGATGTACCGTACGCATCATCCGTGGGCCTTGACTGATTTCCGGTCACGATTGCCTAGTTCCGACCGCCGCGAGGCGACGGAGGTGACAATACAATTGCGCGAGTGGCCGGAAACGGGGCAAAGGGGAACGAAACGTTAACCCAGATGGTACAGTGTGACACGAAAGATTACGTCGCATTGATTCTCGCGAGTCTATCGCGATGTATCAACGTTCGCAACATCTTTGCGATACCAAACGTCGCGAATTTCGACACAAAGAGGTGGAAATGTAATTCTAGGAACACTCCGCCATCCAGTTTTGTTCGCGAAACGACGAAAAATAGTAGTTGTGTGAATTCATTCGCTTTCGATTGATTAGTTTTTTTTTCATTTGGATTGAAGTCGATATTGAAGTCCCGAAAGGAGAAAAAGAGTAAAAATTTGTTAAAAATATGCTTCCTCAGGACACGAATACTGCAAAACAGTTAAAAGAAAGAATGTAATTACAATGTCGATTACACTGGCTTACGAAGAGAAAAGTTTCTTCTGTCAAATGAATAAAATTATGTGATCTATATAGTATTTCTTGCGTGAATTAAAAAATGCAAACAGATTTTTTCCAATTAAGTTTCAAGGAAATTGATTTTCTCTATGTGCACAGACAAGCCTCATCTAATTTAAAATGAAGGAGAGTGATTTTCTTCTATACTTGCTCCCTTTATAGTTATGTTCTCTTTGAAAATAAAAAATGTGCTATCATGTTTTACGATATATTATGCTTAATAAGAAAAAATTCGTTTAAAAAAGAAGAAAAACCGTTAGCCTTAATGAATTTTTATAGACAAATATATTACTTTTTATGTGGAAGAGATACTTTAATATAAAAAATTAAATCGAATTGCGTATCGTATCGCATAAAATTAAATCACAGATGATCATCACAAAAGAGATCGAGGGGTGTTGGAGAAATTCTAAGTTCACTTTCGGATTCTATGCGTAAAGATACACAAGAAACGTAAAGAAACATCATGAGAAATTTCACGAGACGAATTACCTGTTAACCAACGTAATTAGTGAGCACAGAGTAGTTGCCATATTTATAGGAGAGACAGAGAAAAAGAGACACGTCTTGCGACATTTTTCCTCCGGCAACCGTCGTAGGACGACATCGGACGTTGCAACGGAAGGATATTGAAATGAGCGAGCCATCTGTCACGACGATCGCCGCCCATTTCCACTCGGTCGATCGCTAGAAGAGAGCTCCACTCTCGATTACACGGGCAAGGTAGCTGCCGCGAGTACCGATGCGGCAATCAGCCGAAAATAGGAATCTGCTCCCGCGAAAAGGCTAGTTTTTCAAATTAATTGACCGTTCATCCTTACGAGAGCGACTTGTCTACAGTTTGCCAATTTCTCTTTCTCTCTTGCGCGCGCGTCCTCGTCATCGCGCCACAAAAGATTAAACAACACGCCCACTCCTGCCTGACATGCCTCCAGGCTTAGGCGTCTATACGTAAATTATGACATTCTACGTCTACGTCTACGTGAAAATCTAAACTATGTATGAGATGTCGTCTACACGGAGAAAATATTGTAGTAAAAATTGCAACAAAATTTCTCTGTGTAATCTTGAGTCGTACCGAATTATGTCGTAACTACTAGATATTTGTTTGAAAATGGTATGCACATTTGATTTTTCACTATAACGAAATATTGAAACTGCTCGCATATTTTTTATATCGTATATCAGGGTAGTCACCAAATTTACTATTTTTGTAGTACACTGAGAGGCAAATGTTTGATATTTGTAGCTATAATCATATGGAGAAAGAAAAATTATAAATTATGATCAAGACAACCATTTTTTAATCAGTTGCACTATAATTGTTAGTGATAAGTGATAATTTTATATGCATATTACTACTATTATCTTTGTGTTGAAACAACTAAAAAATATGAAATATCCAAACCATATTTTGATCCCAACCACATTTTTAGTTGTTCCACATGAAGACACCAGTAATAACATGAATATAACATTATTATTACTAATGATCGACTAAAAAATGGTTGTCTTGACTATAATTTATAGCAATTATTTCTCTAAATTTTTATGATTACAGTTACGAATACAAAATATTTTCCTCTCAGTGTAGTTTATATATGTCAGTATACAAAGAAATACAAAGAAAGATTTGCAAAATACATTATAAAAAGAAATATAATTTTGCTATATTATTTACTGCAACATTCTTCTTCGTTTATGTAGACAATGAGTAATCTATGGCATTTCGATGAAGAGTATACTGATGGTACTTTAGAGAGTAACGTTGAAATATCAATGCAGGACATGTATTTGATCTTGGACATTCTTATTGTTTCTTTAAATGTATGAATATTTAAACGATGATGAAAGATATATATATATATATATATATATATATATATATATATATATATATATATATATATATATATATATAT